AAAAAAAAAAAAAAAAAAAAAAAAAAAAAGAGATAAAAAAAAAAAAAAAGATAAAAATAACACAAATGTAAATATAGATGGAAAACTATTATGCAGGTCACAGAACTTGCTGGGGTTTGCCCTGTCTTCTTTGTTGGCATGGCCCACCCGGGAATTAGTTTTTTCTGCTAATTGTCTCTGGGTAAATCACTGTTTAAAAAACACTTAGAAACCTGTGTTTCACACACAGTAGAAGATGGCCGTGAGATGGTCAAAGACTGCCATGACTGCTCAACACAGCGCACAGCCTGGAAAGGGAAAGGCTGTGTGTTTCAGAAATGTCAGGAGGCCACAAGCAAGATCTGATCAACACTGTAAATGTGATAAAACCCAGTTTCTGTCACTGAGAGCTTAAACTTTAATGAGATAAAAAACAAACAGGGAAAGGAATACTACGATACATATTCTATTATACAAAGAGGCAATGACAACTTTGAGTCTCGATGCAATATGCACTAGGTGTTATATATAACACCAGCCATACTGTACTGCAAGTTTATGGAACAAATGAATTAAAAAGTGTATTATAAAGGACATTTACAGTTGGAAAAAGAGAGATTCAGAGTGGGGAAGTGGCTTACCTATGCACACACAGGCATGATTCTGGCAGTATTAGAATTCAAAGTCCTACTTATCTCCCACGTCTCCACCCGCTGCCCTACTTACAGGTAAGACAATTTCTAAATAAAAGCACCTGGTGCAACTCTGCAAAAAAGTGGTGATTTTGCCCCCCTAATGAATGAAGCATGAGAAGAAAAAGAAAAAATCAATCAACCAATTGATCACACAACTCAAAGTCATGGGATGCCCCAGATCTAGTAACAGTATTGAAGTAGGAAGAGAAAAAAAAAAAAATCTTTTAAACTAACCATGAAGAAATGTGCCACCCAAAGGGAAAAAGTTGACAGTGCCATACAAGTTGAGTCCTAAGGACACCTCAACATATGTCCCACCGCTCTGGTGTTTTGGAAGCAGATTACAAAGTGGAACATCTCTGGCCCACACCAGGAGCCAATTAAATCTGTTTAGCTTTGTTTATCAAACGCTTATTTTGCAACTATACCTGCTCAAGTTCTGTTCCAAATACAAATCCCTTCCCCAATCATTACTACCCCAAACGTAAGCCACTTCACAGGAAAACTGATGTGCTTTGGTTTTGGGAATGGCAGTAATTATTTTTAGCTTTCCTCTCAGGCACTTGAGGCTTCCTCCATTTGTGGAACAAGATCCATTTAGGAAATATTTCTTTCCAGGCTGTATTTACTACAAACAATGCCCCTACCAGAGCATGAACAGGATCCTAAAGCAGTCCTTTTGACAGCCATATAGGTTTTCGAGGTGGCATAAAAGATCTTGGCTTCCAAGCTGAGACCTGGTGTGTCAATTAATTTTAAGCCCAGAGCGACTTTTTATGACTGTCTTGCAAACCCCCAGAAAATAAGGGTTTTAGATGAAATCACTGAAGGAGTCCAATTCTGGAGCTGCAAATAGCCAGCTATAATAAATATTCCTTCACAGGCAACAAAATGATATATAAATTCATCCATCAGACCCTCTGGAGCTGCTGACAGTGAAGCCATTAAAGACATCTTGGGGATAAGGTGTATTCAGGCTGAAACTTCAGTGGAAAGATTCAGCGCAGCCCAGAGCCCTTTAACTCAGACACATGTCCTAGCACGAGCGAGCCAAGGCACGTTGACAGGTTGGAGATCTTGTTCTGTTTCCCCACGGCCACAGGGGCTCTGTGCAAAACCTTGGGCAAGTCGTTGCATCTCTCTGAGCCCGCTCTCTCCATGTACAAGTTGTGCACAATCACTCCCACTTTACAGTCTCCTCTGTTTAAATCGTAATCTATCACTCCTCATTATGTTTATATACAGGACCTATCATAGGGACTCGCTCTGTGTGTGGAACTGCAGGATCGGGACTGAAGGCTTGAAGGCTTTTTTTTTTTTTTTCCCTCTGTTTATCTTTAAATTGGTCATTTTTATCCCATCTCTGACGGAAAACAAAAATTGAGCTATATCTTTAGGTATTCAGGCAACATGAGATCCCAGCAGAAGATGCTGCAAGTCAGTCTCCTGATGGTTAGTTAGGAGAAATATTTTGTTGTTTAACATTTTTGTTGCTCCAAGCTCCGATTTATTTAAGTGCTAAATCCTCAGCTTAACTTTTAACATATGCTTTCACTCCGTTATTGTCGATGTCAAATGACTGAAGTTAAAGGTAAGTATGCTCTTAAATGCCTCACTGAATTGGGGTCTTAAATATTGCATAATGGTGCTCTTCCAAAGACAGATAAATCAATCCCCTAAAAAAAAAAAAAAAAAAATCTCCTTCTATTTGTAGACTGAAAAAAAAAAAAAAAAGGATCCAGATCAAATGAAGACTGACCTGAAGAAAGAGTGAGTGTATGGTCAAATGGAAACAGCTGCCAAGAGTTGCATGTGGAATCATGGGAGCTTTATTCCGGATTCACTGATACCAGAAAATGTGGAAGATGTGATTCTCAGGGTGTAGTTAAGGATCTGCCATTTTTCCCTCCAATGGATTTCCATGCAAATGGCAATCGGCACACGTTGCTATTGCATATAAGATAGTTATTTTCTTGCTTCACTTACCCAGCAGAAGCCCATGGCCTGAAATGTTATAGAAAACATTGTTGTCCACACTAAGGTTTGAGATCCCGGTCAGATGGAGTCCTCGGCCAAAGGAGTCCATAACACAACAGCCGCGGATGTAAGAGTCTGGAAAGAAATGAGTGCTGTGAGCGAAAAGCACACCGCAGCTTGAAGGCTGGGAGAAACTTGTATTAGCTCCTCATCCTTTGATGCTGTGCAATGAATCTTTCTGGCTTCCATGAGCCTGCTCGGTTGCAGCTGCCCACTCACCCGGCAGATCTTGGCCAACGGGCGGGCGTTGCTGAGACGGGCACAGGAGGGAAGAGGGGCCCTGAGGGCAGAAATGGGTTACTGGAGGCGGTCCAGTATTGTGAGGAAGGAGGAAGAGATCTGGTGAAAGGATGGGGTAAGGTTCCAAGAGTGAAGTATGTTATGAGCCCAGGCAGTTAAGCGATTGAAGTGGGACTGAAGGGGAGGAGGAATGTTTCAGAAGGGCAGTGAGGACAGGGCAGGTATCTTTTACAACTTGTCTTAGCCAGGTACGGTGATCTGCCCACTGTATTCCAGGATCATGGCGAGTGCCCGCCTCTTGCCACCAGGAAGCCTAGATTATCACTCAGTGATGCAGATGGCATAGGAAAAGCATAAATGTGGGTTAGCTGGAGGGGAAAGTCCCATCCAGTACCCTTAAAACATTATTTGAAAACACCCAACTTGCTCCTATCACCACCGGTCTTCAGAGCCCTCACTGCCACTTCCACAGAGAGGAATTCTGCACTTACCAGTGAAAAAGTCAAAGGAACTTAATATGTTCCTTAACCTTCAGGTGATAGAATTAAATTTTGGTCTATGCAACCTCACAGCCCTGAGCCACCTCACAGTATATTAGTGTATTTATTTCCGGAGCTAGAATAGCATGCCAACTCAGACATGTGGCATAAAAATAAAATATTATTTTAGGAGAAGCTGTCCAGAGATGCAAAGGAACTAAAGCAGCTTAAAGCACTCCATCAAGTTTCATTTGGGCTTGGACTACAAGTGAGGTTTACTCACATTTACCAATCCAACTTATCAACTGACCCAAGACCTGAGCAGGTTTTGAGGACACATGCCCCAGCTTTGGGGAGGAAAAGGTGGACATTTGACATCGTTCGGGCCGACCTCCAGTGCAGTTGTCTCACCTTCCATCCGTGCATTGCCAGCAACAGTCAGGGCGCTGCCGGGCTGCCGAAACGCTTGGCCCATGTGGTGGAATTCAACCCCCTCCACCCGGAGCCAACTCGCCTCTCCCTGGAAGGCTTCCACAACCACGATGGCCCCCAGGTCCCGAGAGCCCAGCTGCCTCTCGCTTCGCTTGTACAGACACCTGGAGCCACCTGGAATACAACCCGGTGGGAATTGTCAGCGTTAGTTCTCCGTGGTGACCGTGGGACACACAGAGTGCCCCAAGCAACATCAGGAGACCCACCACATTGACTCAGTGACACCCCGTCTCCAGCAGCAATCTTAAACATGGGCCCAAAGACAAATAGCCACAGGCAAGCATATTTGATCCTCCCTCTAAATAATCTCATGGTTCCTTCCCTAAGAGTCTGGACATTTTTAGACGAACATATATTAAAATCAGCAGGAAGCTGTGGTAGTTTTATGCCTTGGAAAGTTCCCTGTGTTCAATTTTAAATAGTCTTACGCACAGGAAAGATGGATTTGACATTGATTTACCTTGGGTGAGGTTCTTGAAAAGAGGATTGGGCATGGATGTACTGAGCTAAACTGAAATGAGAACAGTTTGAAATGTCTTTAAAATTCTTGCTCTCCTGACTCTCCCTGCAGATGGATGGGGAACTGTCACTACCCACAGTCTGAAGACAAGGAAAGTAAACCGTAGGGTTGGGGAAGGCATTGATATTCATGAAAGACATCCTTCCATGGGTCTGTGCTTAGGATATTTTGGTATGAAGGGATTCAGGCTACTAATGGGCAACTTGAGCTTGTTCAGTGGGCGAGCAGAGGGGATCTCAAATTCCAGCACTGCCTGCTTATGCTCAGTAATGCTCATTTTTCATTTAAAGAAGGTAAATTAACCGCAAAAAAACCCACTGCTCACTCATCTTCTGGTGCCTCCTCTGTGAAATCCTCCTCTAACTCAAATAAAAACCTCAAATGGTTAGAACATTTCAGAGCCTATATTTATGAGTTCCACAGAAAATGGACCATAAATCCATGAGTAATAGAAGCAGTTGGCTGCTGGATATCAAATGAAGTCTTGTGTCACAGTCTGAAAGCCCAAGGCATTTTATTTTTAAAGAAAACCTTACACCTGGGTTGCCAGATAACCTAACTCTCCTCAAATTATAATCACTGTGTCTGATTCTGCTGCCTCATCACCTGGTGTAAATCAGGAAGCCACCTGTCAACCTTCATGGTGTTTCACACAGGTAAAACTAAAGGAGAACTGAGGTACTTAACATGCTTTTTTCCAGTGTTATTATATGCTACAAGAAACCATCACCTATTATTTTTTCTCGGTATCCCTTAAACACTAAAAACCATCTCAGTATTTTACACTAAAGAGTACAAACAGCATTGGGCTGTTTTGTTTTTCCTTCTTCTCAAAGTGACTAAATAGTAAACACAATTAAAAATTTAATATATTATGTACACTGAAACATGTTTTCAGAAGACTCTTTCTTTTCTACACCCTTAGGCTCAGGCAGAACTAAAGGGTCTTTCCCAAGATGGCTTGAAACAACAATTTGAAAATAATACGTTGGAGATATTACCATGAAATGCAGTTCAACTCCCAAGACTTCACACTTCAATGTCAAACAATGTTTGGAAAGATAAACTCTCTTTCCTGGCACTAGTATATCTCAAAGTTATCCTATTAAGAAAGATTACTAACGCGCAGTGATACCACAATGTGATTTTAATGGAGTAACTTTCCTCCTCAGATTGTTTCTATAAGAAAAACCCTCCTCACCCCTTGTAACAGCTGCTTTTGCACACTGTCGAAGGTGTGACATCCTCTCCGTTGTGACATTTCCTTGAACAACCACCCTTCTGCTAATCACTGCCACCACCGCACCCAAAGGCAGGCTTTGGCCGTTCACCCATCCATCTCCAACACTGTGGGAGTACCTAGGGAAAGACACAAAAACGACACAAAAGCGTCCACACCTGCCAGATGGCAAGAATGATGTTTACACTAAGCTTATGACTCCAACTGTTCAAATTAAGACCTGGGTTCAGTTTTCTTCTCACCGTGGACAGTGGCATATCCAATGTGTCTGCATATGTGGGCTAGATATATTTTTCTTTGGCTGATGTTTTTTTGTCATCGTTTTGTCTCTCAAGCTCATAAATTTTCCTTAGATTATGTATAATTACACCTAAACATTTGAGTCACTGAATTTCCACCATCTTCCCAAACCATATTTTGGTGAAAAATATCAGTACTTTCTTCCTCAAGCCCCAAATATTTCCCAAAATGATACCATTAATCTTCCTAGGCACTGGAGTTGGGTTGCCTCCCAAACAGATAACACATTTCAACACTGGTGCTCCACGTGTTGATGATAAGAAGTACAGTTTGTTCAAGATCTCCACTCACAGAATACAAAGAGACCATAAGGCAGTGAAACTATTATTCGCTGGAAATATGGAAGCACTATTTCCAAAGTGAAATAATTCACTTTGAGTGTGTTAATCACCTTAAGCAAACCATCCAAGAAGGGAAGTATTTTTGTAATGAAGTCAGACACTTTTTGTGAAAAAAAAAAAAAACAAAAAAAAAACATTCTCAAGAAATTAACTATGGAGTAAATTTCTTTGCCAACTCTGTGCTGATGCCACTGGACTGTGCTGGCCATCAGTGCTTTCTGCTTCAAAGGTTTTCTGAGTTCATGGCTATGATACAGAATTTAAGCATAGTCAGAAACATTCAGGATTGAACATCCACTAGCTTAAGAGGAACTGAAATACCTCTGACCACCTTTGTTAAAGGGATTTATATAGCTATTATGTCCCACAGGAAACAGCAAATCCTCACTTTGACCAAATTTTCCTCTGGTTTAGTTCTCTGCTATAGAAATGTCCTTGGCCCTTGAAAGGATACCTGAGTGGTGATCTAAGGTACAGCTCCGTGTTGTTCACAGACTCGATAATAGCCATTTCTTCTTGCTGCTGTGCATCTCCAAGGCCTGTCTGCCCCACCACGATTTTGTCACCAGGTTGCCAATCAACAGGTTCCTGGAGCACTAATCGTGTGTCATTAACGTGAGCTGATGATTTCAAGCGTGTTAAAGATACTTTGGGCATCCAGCCTGAAAAAATAAATTTAAAAAACAAGTCAATCAACATAGAAAAAAATAAATAAAAAAAAAAAAAAAAAATTAAAAAAAAAAAAAAAAACCAGGAGCAGCATGCTTAGAAAATGCTGCCTCACTTGGATCATCCTACAGTCATTCATTTCTTCTTGATGCTGTGTAGGAGAGATGGGATTAATGTTACAAAAGACTATTTGTGCACATCTTCTTGGATCACAGAATCACAGAATTGACTAGGTTGGAGAAGATCTTCCAGTCCAACCAATAACCTCACACTGACAGTTCCCAACGACACCAGATCACTCAGCGCTGGGTCAACCCGACTCTTAAACCCCTCCAGGGATGGGGACTCCCCCCCTGCCATGGGCAGCCCATTCCAACGCCCAACAACCCCTTCTGGAAAGAAATGCTTCCTAATATCCAGTCTAAACCTTCCCTGGTGCAACTCGACGCCATTCCCTCTTGTCCTATAACTTGTTACTTGGTTCAAGAGACTCATCCCCCCTCTCTGCCCCCTCCTGGCAGGGAGTTGCAGAGGGCCAGGAGGTCTCCCCTCAGCCTCCTCTTCTCCAGACTGAACTCCCCCAGTTCCCCCAGCCGCTCCCCAGCAGACCTGTGCTCCAGACCCTGCCCCAGCTCCGTTGCCCTTCTCTGGACACGCTCGAGTCATTCAATGGCCTTTTTGGGGTGAGGGGCCCAAAACTGAACCCACTTAGCAAGGTGCGGCCTCCCCAGTGCCGAGTACAGGGCTCAGATCCCTTCCCTGTCCCTGCTGGCCACGCCAGTGCTGACACCAGCCAGGATGCCGTTGCCCTCCTTGGCCCCCTGGGCACACTGCTGGCTCCTGTTCAGCCGGCTGTCAATCACCCCCCCAGGTCCCTCTCTGACTGGCGAATCAGATTACTCTGGATCAGATATGCAGCCCTTTCTAAACAACATCTTCATTTCATATATTTTGTCTTTATTGGTCCCAAAAAGCTGAGAAAACATGCTGGAAACAGGCAGTGGGAGCTGAGGTTCAGGTTCTTTCCCCCAGGACTGCCATCCTTATGTGAGAAATAGTCTGTTCTTAAACACCCTTTATAACCAACGAAGAACACTCTCTGCAGGGACCATCATCCTTCTCTGAGTTCAAAAAGCACTTCAAATTATCAGATTCCCCAGTCTAGTGTCCAAAACAACATCCAGCAAATCTAGGCCCACAAGTAACTTACATTCACAAAAATACAAGCTGCTATTAATAACATTTCTGTGAGATACAAAAAGACAAATATCACCAGTTTCAAAACCATTTAAGAGTGAGTACAGATTGCTCAGCTAGCAACATGAGGTCATCTCGAAACTGTCTCCAGTGGAGGATCTGAAATGAGGGGTCATTTTTTTTGAAATCTTGGGTTAAGTGGCTTAAACATTTCATATGAAAATAATTTGTTTGTTTGTTTGTTTGTTTTTTTAATCCAAAAGCAGAAATAACATCCCGTACTATTTTAATGCTGCAACTTTGAGGATTCTTTTTTTGCATAAAATTTGAATCTCAGTATACGCTGCCGAAATATCCTCGGTGAGACCCTAATCTGGATAGACCTGAAAATACATTTTTAACTTTAAGGTACAGCTGATGTGAAGGTCACGTAACATCCCTGGGGCTGGGAATGGGATGTAGGTGTGGTGAGCAGTGTGAATATGTGGGTCAGAACAACTGCAAGATGAAGAAAAGCCCACTGCATCAGCAACCTTAGGTCGCCACTGGAAGCCAATAGCAAGGTGGCAACTGCAGTTTCCCAAATCCCCTCCTCTTCAGTGGACATACTACCAAGTCTGTGTACAACAGCTCCGGCAATGCAACATCTTGCCGTTTCACCCTTCCTTCTTCACTTCATGAAGTTTGCTTTAACTCTTGACATTTCGTTCTCCCTAGCAGGCTTTGGAACAAATTGGCCCAGTGAGATGCAACACACTGAACACCATCAGGGGAGGCTATGTGCCTCACACACCCACATTAAGTACGCTTTTCCTTCCTTCCTTTGGAATAGCTCATAATTTACCTGTAGCCCACAGCAAGTTACTGTCCTCCCTGGTTGTGCTATAGAAAAGTAATAACACCAGAAATCACTGAGAGTAGAGGCTGCATTCAATAAATCATTTTCAAATTATTTTAAGCAAGTTTTTCTCTTTCCGTACCTTGTTTCACTTGCTCGTTGTTTATACTCCAGTGTCCCAATTCTTTCCTTAATGAAGATGGAAATAAAAAGTAGCACCTCCAATTCGGTGAATTCACAGAAGAACCAGAGAAGAAAGAATCAAGTCTTTATACTCTGTCAACTTGAGCACCTGCTCTGTTTGTCAATGATGGGCGTCTAAACCTGTCTGAGATACTTCTGGATTATTTTTACTTCAGTCAGGCTTGAAATTTCTCAACTAACAGATAAGCAAATCTCCCAAGCCATCCTTCACTTACCGTGCCTCAGTTCATATCATTGGAATGCATCAAACGGATTTCCTTCAGATGGAACTAATGCAGAAGCTGTAATCTGGTAGAACACAGAATACTCTTTAGACACTAATGGAACCAGACTAGAATGACTCTATAGTAGCCTCTAAAACACACCGAGTGTTGATCCTGTATCCCCAGCCCCTACATCATTCGCTCTATAGATCTACTGGCCCGTACTGTTTACTAACATAGACATAGCCAAAGCCCACCTTGCACCATTCGTGAGCACAGTCATCAAAGATTTTCCTGGTGAGACTCATGCTCAACACAGCTTTAGCCCGCTCAAAAAAAAAAAAAAAAATCTCGATATCATTCAATGTGCATTTTTTCACTAGCAGCAGTCTCATCATCTTTATTGATTTACCTCCTTTCATTGAGTGAATCTCATGAATTTTTAGGACTCACATAAAAGAGAACGACTGACAGCAGCCATCTGCATGTTGAGCAGCATACAATTTTTCTCCAGCTCTGGACTTTTTTGTTTATAGCACTGATTTGTGTCCATGTGTTAGTGTGTGAGTGTCTGAGTGCATCTGTGGCCAGGCACACCACTGACTCCCATTGTGTACATCTGTCACACTCACACTACAGCAACCATTATAAAATCACTGCTGGGCAATGACTCTTGTCATTAAGAGGTGCAAACCACTGTTCTGCATTCCAAATATTCTTTAATGGAAAAGGCTTGTTTCAGGCTTTTTTTTTTTTTTTTTTTTTTTTTCCACTTCTAACCACTGAAAAAAAAAAAAAAAAAATTAAGGATAATCTTCTCAAGTTGTTTTTTCTTCTAAAAGAGCAGCAGTCAAGGTACCCAAATATCCCTTGGGTTTTGTCTCCTTTTTATTCTTTGTGTGTCCTCCCAGACTCTGTCTGTCTTCCATTCCACAGTTTGTTTTACCTTTTTCCTGATGATTTTGGTGGGGTGGGATATTTCTTTGTATGTGTAAGATCTACTTCCAATTTCCGATACTTTTAGTATATTTTTGTTAGGAAAAAAATAAAAAATTCTAGCAGATTCCTTTTTCCTTGCTTCCCATTTATATTCCCACATACAGAAACACCTGTAAGTCAGGTTCTCCTCTACTCTAAGCAGCACAAGTGACACACAGGATTTGGTCAGCAATACTGTCAGTTCACAAAGGAGGGACCATAACTGAGGCTTCTTTGTCTTAACTATAACATATTCCTAACCCCATGATTTTGGTGGAAGCCCCTCATACACTCACACACCAATGTACTACACCGTTCCTTGAGCAGTCATCACCCATTGGTGTTTAAAATCACCCATTCCCCTTCCTAGGAAAAAAAAAAAAAAAATTTACAGCTGGCTACTTTTTTGAAAGTAAGTATAACATTGCGAACTCTATCTCACATAGTTCCAACTGTAGGAAAAAGTGCAACTCCCATGTTCTCCAACTTCTGTATCCAATTAAGATAGCTTGAGAAAAAGCACAGCACTCACCAAGCCCCATAGTCACTATCACCAGTGGTGCCTGCAATGGCCTTGACTTATTTTGGAGACTGTGGGTTGGTTTCAAGTTCCTAAACATGTTGGTTTTGATGTACAATTGGCCTCTAGCTGCTGTTCCAGAAAGACATGTAAGATGTGTGTCCTATCTGCCAGACCAACATAGATACCTTGGATACTGTAGAGTGCCTGAAATGGTCCTTTATATCGATACTCAGCTAAATGAGCCGCCAAACAGACGGCAGACAGCCAAATCAAATTGCTACTGCTCTTTTAAGAAGTTTCAAGGGCTCTGCTCGCCTTCCAGGGGTTGGCTGCTTGGATAGGGTACACCACTTTTCAGAGGCACTCCTCCTCCCAACTTTTGAATGGGGAGGTGAAATATGCTGATTAACATCTCAGGAGAGAATGATCTCCAGCTAGGAGACAACCTTCATCTCCTAGAGGTCTTTTCCAGCTTCTCTCCTTCAAAGAACCAACGTGCTCTCTACAAAGATCATGAATACCTAAAGGGGGTTCCCTGGAATCAAGACCTCTGCCTCTGCAGTGTGTCTGCAGGAGCACCCTTTGGAAGCCCAGAGCTCTCTTTCTTGTTTTCCCTTGAAAACAAACTCTATTTCAGATGAAACGTGCAGAGTTCATAAAATAACCTTCAGTGAGTGGGACTGGACTGTGCAACAGGTAAATAAATGACTTGTTTGAGAGTAGAAGATTTAAAAGACCAACAGCTGCAATATATTTAAATTATTACTTCGCCCAAAAAAGTACTGCAAGCAGAAACACTCAAAAGTACTGAAAAATAGATGAATCTGTGTAACTCCTTAATTATTGAACTCATTTTTAATAATTAACTAAGCTCAGATTGGGAAAAAAACACATCTTGAGATCTAAAGCAGAAGTGCCTTCATGTTAAAGGGACAGGACAGAGCCTTTAGACTCTAAATACTATTGTGGGCAAAGTAAGAATTGAACATTTTGCTAAATGTCTTGACAGAAACACCGTTACATACAGAGCAGAGCAGAACCCTGTTGTCA